TTAACCAGTAGGGTGAAGGAAAAACTAAAGTCAATATTCAGTGTCACTATACACATTTATGTTTTTCCTTATGTTTTCTCTGGCCATACTTCAAGTACCTTGGCTTACAGTTTTCATTATATTTTGGGGAAAGTAGTTAAGCCAAAAAAAAAAAGATTCTGGAACTGATAGGAACAAGAACTGTATTACTATCATTATCAATGCACTTCCTTCTTCCATGTGTTAAATTACAGAGTGCTACATGTTTGCTTTATTAATTAGATCAAATAATGCCAATACTTGACGGTACCTATCTAATTCCAAGACTCATCTTTCCGGGGAAATCCTCCCTTTATTGAACTGACTTTGAAGGAATCCTAGAAGAATTTAATCTTAGCAAGAAAAATAGCCTAATCTTGGTCCATTACCACTTTTCCCATTTAAAACAGCTCAAGAAATTCACAGCATGATTAAAGCTCTCTCCTGAGACTTTAATTTGATATCGGCTGTAAATCCGCACTGCATCCTAATGTTCATTCATTGTTGTTTTGTATTTTTAAAATATTATGTATTCTTTGGGAGGTAAGAAGACATGGGCTTACTAGATGAAAGGGATGCTTTGCATGATTCAGCTCCATTTGTGCTTTGGGGCATAACAGATCTATAAGAGAGGTCTGGAATGGATAACTACCAGCTGAAGATCCAACGTTAGGAAACACTGTCTTCATTTATCTCTGTTCATAAAATCTCTTTCAAGGCATAGGAACTCTGCCAGGAGAAGAAACATCAACCAACAGAAGTACAATTCAAAGCCCAATAGTTGTTCCTTTCTTGCAAGGCAGAGACCTCTTAAATGTGTTTTCAGTGTTAGAAACACTTTCCTTGACATGTACCTAGCAAGCACAAGCGGCCTACATTGTTTAGTAGCATGTGACAGCTCTTGAAAAAGATGCAAGTGGGATGGACTGAGAATTCATTATTTCAATTCTGCGTTTGTGAACGTTTTATATTGTGGCTCAGTGTAAAGTCTGCATGGCATTTAATGTGATCAGAGGTGCATAAAGGCAAAACAATGTGATTTACCTGAAACTTCTAGAGCTTTCCTGAGCTTGCACTTCCAGACTGCAAGTTCTCCCCACCCCCAATTTGGCATAGCATCACAAATATATACAAGCTGAGATTATGAACTGCAAGAGTTGTGACATTTGAAGAAGGCCTAAAAGATAACAGATAAATGATGCTTATGGAAGCTTTGGCTGTGTCTTGTCTACCCTGTTTCTCCAACAATACGGCCTCCCCCAATAGGAAGTCCCAGCATGTTTTATAGGCATGAAATGAAATTAAGCCCCTCCCCCCAAATTAAGGCCTATATTAAAACATGTGAAATGGGGGGGAGGGGAAATGGCGGGGGGGGGGGCTTGCTGTTAGGAAGTACTTTTGTTGCACACCCGAATATGGTGTTGCCTGCGTTGACCCTGATACAAAGTGCCCCACCAACGTCGAGGTCAACATCCAAGCCATCGCTGCCCGCCCTAAGATGCAAGGGGGGGAATTAAGTCACCCCCGAAAAGACGGCCTAGCTGTTTTTTCGGGGCTCAAAAAAAAATAAGACCCGGCCTTATTATATGAGAAACACGGTAGTAGGAAATGTGTGCACAGATTATATATATATTCTGTACCCTATTTTACGACAGCCTCATCCCTTAAGTATATAAGTATAGATTCATATAGACACTGTACTTTCTGCCAAATTCTGGTTGCTTCCCCAAAGTAGATGCCACATTCATTATGTATATAGAAAACAACATCCTCTGTATCACTTAAGAGTTTGGGTTATTGGAAGTATGGTTATCTTTAAAAAGGCCAGGCTGCAAATTATCCCCAAGGAAAAGGACTCTAAAGGTTATACCATTTTTGTTTTTGCAAACCTTACAGTTTTACAGTCAAGTAAAATAAATTTTAAAGGAAAAACAGAGTTAACAATATATCTATATAGTCTCCTGAATTACAGCGCTAACCCCACCTCACTTTCAATATGTGAAGAAATAGCCCCAGTTTCAGAACCAATGACACAGTTTAAAAAATAATTTACGATCTCCACACAAGTTTGTCTGCTTATCATCTGCTTATACAAATATTCACAGATCAGCAGCATATATAGTATCCTAAATTATACATTCCCAGAATACTTTTCTCCATCTATCTTCAATCATCCAAGTGTTAAATTTCCCCTCTGACTTGCTTATCTTAAATCTGTACAAACCAATTCTGTATTTCAGATCTCTCCTCAAGGATTTCTTTTTCCATGCTAAATTGAAACTCTCCTTCCACTTCTTTCTATAAAAGGAATAGCTTTTCCTTCAATAAATGTGCTGGCATTTTAAAAAAATTGTCATCTTCCAGTCTCAGCAGATTAGAAGTGAGAATGAGTTCTTAGTTTCTCAGTATAAGTAACCATTTGGTTATAATCATGGAAAACATCTAAGATACGATAGTATTCATGATTTACTGCACCTGTTGTTTCTATTACTATGACATTGAGAAGATGGTTAGATCTGTAAAATAACAATAACATTATCTTTCAACAAAAATATAGCATTTAAAAAAAATATGGATTATGATCACAAAAGAGAAAAAGTGTATGAGTATTTCCATTTCAGGGGGTGCTCTCAAACATTAAGGTATGTGGGGCTGCTTCAAAAGAAAAACATATGCGCTGTAATGGAAATGACCCACAATCACAGCTGTATAGGTTAACATTTAATTAGTAAAAATCTGAAAATCCCTCCTTTTTGCAACTAACCATTAAGCTTTAGCAGTTAGCATTAATTGAGTTAAGTTGAAATGATTTCTGAGTAGACATAAAGGAAGTATACAGCGAGATTCGTTCAAATTTTCTGCTAGTTTCTAGGACAAAACTGGAGGTAGGGGACAGAACTGGATGCTGACATGCTTAAATTTCCAGTACAAATCAGAAATGTAAACTCAAAGACCTTCTCCAATATTCCAAATAATTTAAAGAATGGTGGAGACTACAAATTCTTCTTATCCAAACAGAGAAATTAATGAATATTTTATTCATAAATTACTGTATTTTTCACTTCATAAGACACAGCACCTACTGTAGGATTAGAGGAGAACAAGAAAAAATATATTCTGAACCAGAGACTGAGAAGACCACAGATAGGTGTCCTCTCATGTACCAGCTCTGCCTATTGACTCCTGCACTGAGGAAAAGAGACTGAAGAAGCGGGCAATGACAAAGACAGAAGAGGCGTGGTTCAGCACTGTAAAACTGCCATGGCTCAGCTGTTATTCACCAAAGGAAAAGAAAGGAAGGAAGGAAGGGAGGGAGGGAGGGAGGGAGGGAGGGAGGGAGGGAGGGAGGAAGGAAGGAAGGAAGGAAGGAAGGAAGGAAGGAAGGAAGGAAGG